CCAGAGGAGGTGGACTGGGAAGCCCTGGTGGCCGAGGAATGCCTGACATTATTTGCTGTCTCCTCTTCTGTCTAAAGTATGTTTTTAACTCTCTACCATTTTCGTATTTTTGTTTTAAACAGCTCTTCATGGTCCTTCAAATGGCAAGATGAAATAATTTGAATAAAAGGCAATGGATCCGATATCCAAAGGCCTCAAAGAATAATTTTTGATACGTCTCTAACGAAAAACGGGAAAAAAAAAAAAAACCTTGAAAACATTGTGGCTTGCAATGTGTTACCAGATAACCTTTCCCCTTCCTTGGGGGAACCCATTGGCACACAAAGTTTCTTTCCTTTATTAAGCCACTGATGTTTGCTCAGAGCATTTGGGACCCTAGAAAACTGGGGTCATATCACATTAAGTGCTGGCTACTCTATATTGGCCTTTCTAATTTTTTTTAAAAGCAACGCAAATGGAGGAAAAGGTGGTTATAAAAAAACATCACAGGAAACCAAATAGCCTTTATTTAAATTAAAAGCAATCACGGCCTGATTCTTGGAGCTCACTAGGAAATGCTTTTGGCATGCAGCTGCTGCGTGGGGCCAATCTCATGTGTAATTGGAAACATTTCAAACAGAATTGTTACTGAAGTCACAGACCATAATTGTGAGCTGTGGGCTCAGTACCCTCCATAAAAGAAGGGCGGTGGAACTATGGGAGGGGACTCGGGGCACTGGGGGCATCTTAATGCAGAATGTCACCCTTCACTGACACATCTTTCTTTCCAAAGGCCAGAAGAGTACAGCAAAGCTGGTGGGAGCTGGAAACCCACCAGCAGGACAGAGTACCAAGACAACTGAAATAACACAGCCCTCACTTGTTTCCTGACAACTATGTAACAGCTGGAAAGGAAGGGGTTGGCTCCAATCCCCCAGGGAGAAAAAACGCAAGCTCAGCTTCATGGGCCAGTTGGTTTCTTAGGATCACCTAGGAAAAACTTGGGGAGAAGAGTTACATAAAAGTGAATGACAGCTATTGGCTCGTTTGCAGTTCTGTTTTCAAATACTTACAGTGGTTTCTGCCTATCTGACTTTTTTTTTCTTATAGGAAAATGACCACGGAAGGTGGTACTATCTTTGTGTTCTCCGAGAAGTCCCTTCAGATGTGACCAGGAGCATTTAAACAGACATACACAAGAAGAATTATTGAACTGTCTGAGAGGCCTGATCACCCGAGTAACTGGAAACAGCCCATGCCCGTGAACCAGCAGCTCAGGAACAGCTCGCGGAAAAACCATGTCATTCTGGCACACGGCAAGGGATCTGATTATTCTGTCGTATCTCTGTGCCAGAAATGTCATGACATCAGCATGCTCCAAGCTGTAAAGCAAACCTCTTTCCACTGCCTTCTTCAGGAGAGGGTCAGGGGATACGGGGCACGCAAAGCTTCCTGGTTGCTATTGGCCAGCCTTTGCCACAGCTCCTGGATGCAGGGCCGACTCCACTTTTGCAGAGCACCACTGTAAACCACGTGGTTCATTTGCTGGTTGCCAGGGTGCTGAGGGACGATTTTTGCACGTGTCCAAGGGGAGGGGTCCAGAAGGGCAAGGCTCTATGCTGCCCTTAGGCCATCCTGGTCCCTGACACTCTGTCAGAAGCACGGCCTCCGCTGCTTCTACTGAGGCTTTGAGACACTGTAGCAGTACCTGACTTGGCCTCTAGATAACTCTGCTCCCTGCTCCAACCCTTTGTTCACACCCACTTTCTGAAGTTCCTTATCCAATAACCAGGAGAAAAATAAAGATTCCTTAGCATACCAACCCACCCACCCACCAAGAAACACCTCATTCACTTTCCTTATTCCTCTTCATTCTAGAACATTGCACCTAGATTTACACAATTTTAATATTCTCACAACAGTAAGAATGGAACAAAGAATACTGTTTTATATAACATGGAGAAAACACAGAACTATTTTCCTGAGCGGAGGAGTCTATCTTGGTCAGATGACATAACAAACATTCCTGTACATACATGAGAATCAGTGTATGTGTGTGTGTGTGTGTGTGTGTGTGTGTGTGGGGGTTCGTATGTGGTGTCAGCATGGAGGTCAGAGGTTGATGTCACCCATCTCCCTCTCTGTCTCTCCACCTTGTTTTTTGACACAGTCTCTCAGGGAACCTAAACTCACTGATGGTCTAGGCGGCTCCCTGGTGCTCTGGAAACCTTGCCTGCCCTGTTCCGCTGTTGCTGAGATTACAACCGCAGGTAACCATGCTCATCTGGGAATCTGAACCAGGGCCCTCATACTTGTACAAGCTCTTTACCAACTGAGCCATCTCTCCAGAACCCTGTTGTTGACTTTTGAAATTCTACTTTTTTAAAATGGAAAATTTATCCCTTATAAGATACTATGTTCAGGGAACTAACTGCTGTAATTAAAATACCAACCAATAAAGGATCATCTCAACTGAGAATTGTTGCCCTTAATATCAGACAATTCAAAAATATAGGGTAGGTTTTGTGAGAGTTTCTACCTGGTTCTCATTCTATTTCTCCAGTATTAGGGCTGTCACTCCCTGGGGTGTGGCTCAGCTGTGGAGTGAGCACGTGCCCAGGTTTGCCCCCAGTATTGCAAAGACATTGCTTGCAGAACCTAACCTTTTGTGGGCCACGGACAAGCTACTGTAGACTTTAAAGAGATTACCTATTCTGGATATTTTAAACTACTAAGAGAGACTAGCAGGGGCACTTCTACCAACCACCTAGCTATCAACCACCAAGTTTCTTTCTCCTTCTAGCTTGTGCTGTTTTTCTTTCATCACCCAAGCTGACTCATTATTACAAAAAGTAGACCCATGATCCTTGGTTATATATATCTTAAAAATCATAGGCAACCTTTTAAGCATCATTAGTATCACCTGCAGAACTGATTGAATCTGTCACTTTAGTGAAATATAGCAGTTTTCTCTTAAAAACGATCCGTGAATCAACAGGCTCACTCACTGGTAACTCTCCAATTATACCAAATTAAGAAGGGGAAAACCAAATTACCAAACTCATTCACTCATATCAACCTGTCCATCTTTAGACACCATTCTGCTCCCCTTCTTTTCCTTCCCAAGGCTCATTTCGAAGCACGAGTCATTCATCCACGCCAGGCATGACTTATTTTGAGTTATCAGTAAGTGTTCGAACTCTTAACAGAGGGTAGCATCCCTTATTCCTAGTGCCTTTTGTATAGCACCTACATTGTTAGCCTTTAAATCCTTCGTATAAACACTTCTAGAAGTGCTTATTAAATATCCCCTTCTGTGTTTTCTGACTCGCCAGCGGATGGCATTTAGAACTCTTTGCTACCAGCAGGTGCTGTATTTTGCTTTCTTTAGGCTCCAGCTGGCTACAATGATAGATTCTTGTCCCAGCCACCTAGGCTAGGGACCACATTGGAGGCGAAATGAACCCAACCCCACCAGACAGCAAGATAAATGGTTGCTGTTTAAGTTTTAAATCCCCTGGTGGGAGTAAATATTGTTCTAGGCAAAAAGGCTCGACAAACATTGCGTCATCCTTATGGAGCTGTCTTGATGAAAACAGAATTTTTAGATTAGGTTGGTCCTAAATCTAAAAGTGTATCTATCTGGCTGTCAAGGGTTTTGGTATTCTCTCCTCCCCATTTCCTACTCTAAAAACAGACATATTGTTGGGGATGATCAAACGCGGCTGACACGTCCCAAGGGGCACGGTCCCACTCTTGGTAAAGAAGGCCGCTGAACACTGACACTTCACTGAGGATAATGGCGACAGCAAAGGCTTAGTCGGGAAAAAGGCCAGTTGTCACCTAAGTGACAGGCAACAGCTGAGCTCACACATCTGGAGCTAGAGGAGGGCAAACCTTAACAGCCCTCATTCGTCTACACCTTGGGCTTGTCTGAAGATGGAAGTCTCCTTCACTCCAGAAGTACATTAAAAAATATCTGATGGTGAACCACGTCAATTACATAACATCAGCGCAGCGCAGACACTGCCTTCCGAAAGCGCTGATTAAAACCAGGCGGCAGACAGAACTGTTCAGGGACAGATAGGAGATACAATTTCATCAAGTATAATTTGTCATTCATAAAACCTACCCTAAAAGCCACAAATGCAGCATTTTTTTTTTAAACAGCACAAGTGCACTTGGGCTCCACCAGGGATTTTCACATATGCTCCTTCAGACCGGTTCGCCGTGCGTTCTTCTCCTTGATCCTGGCTGCAGTCCTGCCTGACACGTTTTAAAACCAGGAACCAAGTGCGTCAGGCTTAAGAATCTGAGTCCTCCCGGGGCGGGTTGGAACTCAAAGCTGTGCCAGCCGTCCCCGCGACCTCCCGGGTACACCCCCCTCCGTCTTCAGTCTCCTGAATGCAATCTGTGGACAATTTTCCGAAAGTCCCAAAAATAACACGGCCCTGCCAATAGTCGTTGGCGATGCCGTTTGTTTTTCTTAGAGGGCAATGAAAACTCAACAGCTTTTCTGCTGCATCCCGAGTCCCGCTCCTGCTAATTATTAACAGACCTAGTTTCTTCAACTTTTTCTGCCAGAAGGGAGAACGCCGCGGCTCCCCTTCTCTCCCACGGGCGAGCTGCGTGCAGAGTGGGGTCTCCACGGAGGGCAGGCTGCGGCTGCCTCTCCAGGGCAGGCGGCCCTTCCCGGGCGCGCTAGGGGCCGAGCCTCTCCGCAGACGCCAGTAGGTGACAGGCGATCCTCAGCCACTCACCCTCGCCTCCCCGCTCTTGCGTGGCCCGATTCGGGGCCATGCAGCTGGCCTCGGCGCCGGGGGAGGCGGGGAGAGCCGGCACGACCTGCCTGCCACGCAGCACGAGGGGCCGTGCGCCCAGCCTCTGCGCAACCACAGCCCAGCAGCCCTCCCGGAGTCTTCCCCGCGCTCCCAAACCGCCGGACGTCCCATCCCGCGCCGTGACAACGCGGCCCAAGCCGCGGCGCCCCCCCCCCCGCCCTCGCGCCCCGAGCCACTCACCCCAACGCGCGAGCGGTGACCGCGCGATCTTCCTCGCCGGCGCTGGGAGCTGCGGTCCTCCGCGTCAGGCGCGCTCCCGCGTGCGCAGCCCCGGGTGCGTCCGCAGCCGGGCACGGAGCGCTGCGGCCGCGCGGTACCAGGTCAGCGCAGGCGGCGCGGGGATGGCATGGTGGCGGCTCCCCGGCCGCTGCTCGGCTGCAGGCGGAGTGCGCGCTCCAGCCTGGGCCGCTGCAGAGCACCCGCCCCGGGCCGCCGAGCGGGCGCCAGCGAAATCCCGGAGCGCGGACGCCTGGGATGCAGGAGACTCTGCGCGCCCACGCGCACAGCGCAGGGCCCCCGATCCCTCCCGCCAGGCTGCACCCGCCGGGCTGCGGTCTGCAGGCCCGCGAGTCTCCGCCCCGTCCCGTCCCGCCCCGCCCCCGAGTCTCTGCCCTTTTTAATGCTGTGGTCGTGTTTCAGTCAATAATCCAGACGGATTGATTGCGAGATAGAAAGGGTGAAGGGGAGGAAAAGGTAAACCCAATTTCCTCTGATCAAACAGTTTGACAGGGTCCCCATTAGGGTTCTCTTTCCTTTGGGGCGTGTAGAGAGGGCACAAGTTAATTAAACTCTTGATTCCTTCTGGCGCTTTCGCCTCTGGTAACCCCACCTGGACTCGATCCTATCTCGTGTAATTCCCTGAGGGTTGGCCTTAGTCGGCTCCGCAGCCAAGAAGGTGAGAATTCAGAACATGAAGCGCAAACTGATGGTCTCAAGGAAAAAGCCAGAGGGTGCAGCTGAGGACCCTCGGGGAACCAACCACGGTGTCTCGGGGGTCAGGTTCGAGTTAGCCCGGAGCATTAGATACGAGGTCCAAAGCCTTCATTCCATCATGAAGATTATTTTTCATTGACCAAGCCATTCTCCGTGTTTTAACTCTGCCCGATTCCTAGGGCTGGGCTGTCAGGCTCAGTCGCCCACGTACAACAGGGACTCAGTCTGTTTGAAAGTTCTGCCCTGACATTTGCGTCCCCATAAAACTCAGAACCCCTTAACTTTTCTACTTCCGGATCCGTGGAGTCACGCTGTGGGTACTGGGACACCAGGCCTCAGGGAGCAGAACCCACAGCCGCTGGTAATGCCAACCTGACAGATGTCCCTGCAAAGCAGATCCTTTGTGGATCTCTCCATGACTTATAAACCTTCCAAGATGCTGTAAGTAGCATCTTGAAGGAAGAGAAGGCTTTATGTGCTAGGAGCAGGGAGGTGATGTTGATGAATTCGTATCCCTTCAAGAAAAAACAAAGCTGCCCATTTAAGACTTTCTTCGGCAGCAAATATGTTTCTCTGGTGGTAAAGCAAAAGTCAAAGACTAGGAAGATGTAAAACTGAAGTCAAAGACTAGGAAGATGTAAAACTAATAGCTAACGAAAAAGAAGGAAGGAACGTGCCAAAGCCAGAGACTATTGGTCTCAGCTCTCTCTGGGGTTCGGATCTTCTCACTTTGTTGACACAAGAAAGGAGACTGCAGCTGTTGAAATCCTCCCATTTGTAAGTGATGTGCATAATCACCAGAGCCAGGGCGAGAATGACCTAAGCCTTCCTGCTCCTTAGTATCTCATTGGCCTCGGCGTTTAAGTTGTGTCTTGTCAACTCTACAAATACTTCTACTAAGCTATAAGCATGGAGCTATTAACTAACCTTCCTGCCCAAGAAAACGGGCAAAAATGACTCGTTCCGTTTCCACCCACAGCGAGAATGAGTACTTTAAAGGGTGGGTCTACTGTTGTCATTAACGGCTTCGGCTTCTGTCTATCTTCTCTCCTTAAAGCTTCAAAGTAAAGTGGGTTCTCAAAAATTAAAGACGGAGTGATGTATTGGAATAGTGCTGGGGAGGATGACATGGAAGGTGGTGTCTGTTGTTCCCCACAGTCCTGTCTCATGAGGGCGCCCACTTCTGCGGAAGAGTTGGGTGGGAAGAACCTGTGAAAGATATTTGTATAGCCTGAGCTTGGACCTCGCTATCAAAGGGAAAAAGTGTTAGTATGTTATAGCATGACATGGGTATTAGTATATTATAGCATGACATGGGTATTAGTATGTTATAGCATGACATGGGTATTAGTATGTTATAGCATGACATGGGTATTAGTATGTTATAGCATGACATGGGTATTAGTATGTCATAGCATGACATGGGTATTAGTATGTCATAGCATGACGTGGATATCACAGCAGAGGACCTACAGCTGTGGCTTCACAGAGGATTTTGATAAAATCGAACATCAATAATTTGTGGTGCAAACAGTGTTCTCCCCAGAGGCTACTTCTTTGGGCAACGTACTATAAACATCTTTGTAACAAATACTTGGTTTTCAATCAAGATGCTCAAAAAAATTACTCAGGCAGTTCAAGTGAGATTAGAATAGACTGATTTTTACATCCCAAGCCCCATCATTTCCCAAATGGACCCTAAAAGGATGTCGTTAACATTGCTGGCCCTCAGTTCCTTCTCCATAAAGAGGATAAAAGCCCGATCAGAGAGCTATTGGGTTCCTAAGCTGAAGGAAGCTTCCAATTAGTCAAAAAGATTTTAAGGATGACATTTCTACATCATATTTTTTTTCTCAACCGCCTTCCCTTACTCCTGCTTCTGTGAAACCCAACAAATTAGAAAGTCACACACACACACACACACACACACACACACACACACACACCGCCCCATACACACACTTGGCAGTATTAGGGATTGAATGCAGGGACTCGTGCATTCTAGGCAAGAGCTATACAACAGCCCTTTAAATCTTATTTTTCGTGTCAGTGTCTTCAGTGTTCCACAGGCTCTCTTTGAAGAAAATGAGAACATAGCTCAGTCTCCTGAGGCCTGCATTCCGCCATGCCTGACATAAGAAAAGGAGAAGACTCTTTTAAGGTTTAGCGTGTATCAGGACTGTATGGGGGCTCTGTGTTATGAGCATTCACTGCTCTTTCAGAGTTGGGTTCCCAGCATCTACATCAGGTGACTCAAAAACTTCCCCAATTTCCAGTTCCAGGGGATCCAGTGTCTGCCCTCTCCTGGTATCCATGGGCACCCATACACACAAAGAATTCACTCGCATAGACATAGACATACACGTAAGAAAATAATGAAATGTATTTTAAAATATAGTTTAAGGGTCCCAGTGTAGTCTCCTTTGTGAACTACTTGGTTGTTCTAAGTCTCTTCCTAATGGGGCTCTCCCTTCTTTGTCTTGTCACTTAAACAGGATCTCACACTTTTAATATGTAAATCAATTCAGAGTCATTTTAAAGCAGCAAAACCAATTTTTATAAAAGTTATACCCTTGTGTACTGAGCGGTAGCTACAAATTTCTTACATTGAAGTCATTGTCTCCATTGCTTCAGTGTGTAACCTCGTTTGGAGACAGGCTCTTTACAGTTACAGTCAAGTGAAACTAAAATCACGGCTACTAGATTGAGTCCTAAGCCTATACAATTGAGCTTTTCTTGTATTTGTTTCTTTTTCTGAGACTAGGGTCTTATGTAACCCAAGCTATCCTTGAACTTGCTTTGTATCCAAGGAAGACCTCGGACTCCTAGTTCTCTTGCCTTCATCCCCTGTACCATGCCTGGCATGATTCATTGCACGAAAAGGAAATCTGTAGACAGACCTGCATTCAGGAAGGATGCCACAAATATGAAGGTGGAGATTGTGGCAATGTTTTCCAAGCCAAGGGACATAACAGATTGTAGGAAATTATCAGAAGCCAGTTAAGTGCGGGACAGCGCTTAGGAGGAACCAGCTGTACCTCTAACTTGATCTCCCTCTTCTTTACTCTTCAGCTGTGAGGCGATGTAGTTCCATTGTTTAGGCTAGCCCCCTGTGATGTTTTGTTGCGACAGCACAAGTCACCAAATGTGGTCCCCAAGGACTCATGCTCCGAATGCTCTTGGTTTCCTCAAGATGAAGAATTCACATCAGTTCAGACAAAAGAACCAAGGAATTAAGTAAGAATCCAGAGGTTTTGACAATCCTGACTTCACATCCAGGTCAGGTTGGTTCTTACTTTTTACTTGGTTTCTGTTCTCCGTGCCGCCTGACCCCAAATCTCAAACATGCCATGACCTGCAGACTCACCCTGACACAGGGATTGCAAGGTGCATGATCTTGAGCGGGTAGTGAACAACTAGCCTGGAGGCATGCTCCTGTGTTAACTGTCCAAGGATGTCCTGTGTCTTTTCGGACAAAGCACACTGTCCTCAGAGTAGAGAGAAGGCACTCACTTTTGTACAATGTGGATTTCCTACCTGTCCTCACCTGTATTTGCACTAATTGTATCAACTATTTACAGTTCTTCAAAAGCATCAAGCTATTTGAGACCTCTGTGCTTTGATGGTTGCTTGAAATACACTGATCATGGCCTTTTTTATTATCAAGTCTTTTTCTGTCCTTATCCCCCCCCAAAAAAAACCCCTTTGCTTAAATACCCACTTCTTGGGACTCTTGTATTTTGCATGTTTATATGGCAAACACTTGACCACCTCTCTACCCCAAATTCTAGCTTTTTGTTTTGTTTGTTATTTTTTTTGGTTGTTGTTTTGCAAGAAGCCCTGACTGTTCTGGAGTTCAGAGTGCAGACCAAGTTAGCTTCAGACTCAGAGATCTGCCTGCTTCAGCTTCCGAGTGTTGGGATTGAGTGCACACACCACTACACCCAGCTTGTTTGTTTTGTTTCCTGGTTCTGGCTTCCTTATTTACACCCCAGACTCAACACTATCCGTTTCACACACCTGTGAATCTGAGAAAGCAAGAAAGGGGGAAAGGGAATCTTCCTTCTGTGCACAGCGATGACTGTCCTATCTCTTGTCTTCATATTGTCTTTGTTCAGTGCGCACTCCCAAGACTTACTAGCTTACATTGGCACGTGGTAAAAGCGTAAGGGAGTGACATGATGGCTTCAAGCTCCCTTTCTGAAAAATAACCCTGGTCTAACTGTGTCTTGTCTTCTCCTTTTTTTTTTTTTTTTTTTTTTTNTTTTTTTTTTTTTTTTTTTTTTTTTTTTTTTTTTACCTAAGAGGAACTCTAGAATGTGGAGTGGATTCACTGAAGGAAGGGAGGGATATAAAAAAAAAAATCTCTTCCCCACTCAAGAAACACTAAATCTTAGGTGCTCTGTGTATATGAGTCCTTCTAGAAAACCAAACCAAAACAACAAAAACAAGCCACACCAATTCCTGCT